GACATAAAAAAATAAAATAAAACCCTCTCTCTTTTCCTCCGTACCCAAATCTCTAAAAACGGGGGAACAACGGAGCTGATCCAGATTTGCGTCCGATACGACGTAATATCTGAAATGTGGACCCACGGCCCTATCAGAAACGTTGCTATCAGAAACAATGCCCGACTGTTTTGGACGTTATATGGTCGGTGTTTACATTAGCATCGCTAACACTCAGAGCTAACCTGTACTGGAGAGCATGTGTGTGAAGAAGCAGGAAGTAAAAAGGAACTCACCTTGTGGTATAACCGGCAAGAGAGAAAGCCTTTGAGCTCCATACTGTTTCAGACATAATCCTTGATGTGGTTTTGAACATGATATGGCATCAGCTCCCACTCCCCGAAAACAGGCCTGGAATAGAGGGATATGAGGAATGGCTAGAATGGGTGATCTGTTTGGTATTTTGAGAAAAACATTTCAGAGACATGTTTTTATATATTTGTATATATCTGAGACCCATAATATAATCCTAAAACAGCATGATAGGAGACCTTTAATGTAAACAGTGTCTTGAATACTGGCCACCCAGGGTTTTTTTTTGTTTGTTATTGTTGCAGATCAGTGAGTAGGAAAAACTGGCACTCTTTCCCAGCGTATCCATGTGAATGAAATGCTGTGGTGGTGACGGTGTGTTTTTAGTAACCGTGCAGCTCATCAAGCGGAGAAAAACTGAAGGAAATCAGACAGTCACCTCGGTCTGCTTCCCATTGGATCAATCTTTGATGAGACAGCTAATGATGCTAGTCGGCTAGTTAAGCTAGCATACCGCTAACTCAAGGACCAGCTTAAACTTCTCGGATGCCTGTTTCTGGTGAACCGTGCCATGGTGACGTTAGATCTGGTTGTTTTGGGAGTTGTGGGGAAAAAAGATTGGAAATAGAGATCACACATTTCCATTTATTCTAATTTGGTTTGCATAAAGCAATGACATGTTACGAGAGGCGCCAGTCACGGAAACACAAATCGCTTTGGGACAGGTGACTAACACTCATTTTCCTTTAGTGCGGTCTCAATCCAGGTAATTACTCTTGTGATAATCCTCAGAAACGACCACAAAATATATCAGCTTGAGAGTTAGTCTTTTTTTTGTTACATTTTTTTATTAATGTTTGTTTGAGGAAAAGTAAAAAAAAAGTATGGAGGTAAATAGTAAATGATAATTAAACAGCAACCAATATAAACACATTTGACATTTTCTGACATGTTTAATGATTATTCACTCGTATAATTTGTGTTAATTTGACATTTGTTCTCTGATATTTACTCTTTAATGATGAATATTTGATCTACAATTGGCTTTTGAACTCTATATTAAGTTAAAAGGTGCATAAAGTGAGTTGAGGATGATTACCAGGTTTAGTTTTAGTAAACCTAGGTTTCATTTACTTAATTTAACATTTGCTGCTTGTGACCCAGAACGGATTAGATAGATTTCTCTACATATAGATGATTTGTCTTCATGTTAAAGTTAAAGATATGCCGTTGAATATGCAAAAAAGTGCCCATGCTTTCTATTCATTACAGGGAGATGTTCTTCCTGAGTGAGAGCCATAAAAAACAAATATAGCTCCGTGGTAAGTATTAATAAAACCTATTAAATTCAGCTGAGCAGGGATGATGTATTGTAGACACACACACACACACACACACACACACACACACACACACACACACACACACACACACACACACACACACACACACACACACACACGCACATAAAGATGGGAGGGCTACAGAGGATAAAGGTGTCATAAAAGCACAATATCTCCCTAGTTTACGGGAAGAGAGGAAAGTCGTGACCAACAGCCGCTCAGGTGAGTACTGCAGCTCTCCTCGTTAAATTTAAAAAAAAAATTTGTTAAAGAACATTAATAGTTTCTGATAGAAATAAAAAAATATATTTAAAAAATACAACTTTTTTTGCTCAATAGTAAATGTATCCTGCACGGTAAGAACATTTGAATTGAAAAACGTTGTCAATCCAGGTCAATAATCTGGTGATAACTCTCTAATGTGACCTAAATGAATCAGCTTGATAGTTATATACTTGTTTTGTTCTATTTTTGATTGAATGTGTTATTTGTTGTTCAGGAAAAGTACAAAAGTATGGTGGTAAATACTTAAGGATCATCGAAAAGCAACTAATATGACCAAATGTAATTTTTTTTAATCTTGAATGATTATTGACTCGTATAATTTGTGTTATTTTGACATTTGTTCTCTTATATTTACCGTTTAATTATGAATATGTGATGTTACATTGGCTTTTCATCTCTTTAAAGGTGGATAAGGTGAGATAAGGATGATAACCAAGTTTAGGTTTAGTAGAGCTGGGTGTAATTTATTTTATTTAACATTTCCTGTTCGCGACGCAGAAAGGATTAGATAAGCAGAGATGCCTGTATGTACTACATGTGTGTTTGCACAGATAATAACTATTTGTTTCTTTGTGTTTCCAGCAAACAGAAATCACAATCCAGAGAGCATCTTCTAAAACAGATTTATTCTTAAAAATCTGACAAAATGAAACTCCTTCTTCTGACTCTCTGCCTCCTGGGCTCAGGTAAAAAATTATTTCATTTTGTACAATAATATATATAAAAAACATCTCCTATTTTGTTGAAAGTCATTATTCATAACAGATTTGTTGCCAGGTAATTATAAATGATGATTGAACATTAACACATGTTCGTAATTCAAGGTTTAAATGACAATAAAAAGGTGACAATTAAAGGATTTTAATAATTTAATCTGCACTTAATGGGTAAAAAGGATTTATGCTCAGATTTATAAAAGATACTAGTCTAAGGGATTTCCACAACCTGGCAACCCAAAAGTCGTCTTAATAAAACTGGCTTACAAAGCATTAGTAACAACATACAGTTTAAAGTGCCTTGTAAGAAAGGGATAATTGTTTTTTTAAACCATGGATATTACACTGAGGAATTCTTACAACACAGAATTAGTCATTTAAGGAATAAAAAAAAAAATTAGGATTTTTGTGATATCTAAATAACAAAACAGACACAAAACTCAGCAGGGGGTTCAAAGTGAGTAATCGTTTAATTATTTTAAGTCATTTCATATAGAAGTGGAAAAAAACCAAATGTGAAACTCAAAGCAGTGAGGAGGAAATGGCAAATAAATGTGTGGATGGGCTTTAGTCATTCATTAACTTCACATCCCAGTTTATGACAGAGAACTTTCCAGATGGTAAAGGAGGAAATAGATATTAGTTTTTTTGGTACCACTTTACAACAAGAATATACAATAAGAAGGGTTTACGCATAGTTTGTAATTAATTAATTAATTAGGTTATGAACACTTTATAAATCATTAATAAGCTTTTATAAGACATGAGATAAACAGGGCGACTGTGACTGGTTGCTTGCCAAATAGTGAGCCCACATGTATCTGTGCTGCTAAGCCTTATATTGGCTACCTAGCTTATTTCAACTTCTTCATCAGCCAGCATCCTTGGTGTCTGTTGTTCACTGAGTTGATTCTCGCTAAGTAGCCAATATAAGGCTTAAGGCAAGTCATCTTGCCAAATAGTGAGCCTGTGTTGACGTATGAAAACTATGTTAGAACTGGTTATAAATGGTTCTTAATGATTAATAAAGTGCTTACAACCTAATTAATAACCTAATTATGAACCCTTTATAAATCCTTTATAAGGGTAATCTTATTGTAAAGTGGTACCTACTGATATACACCTGAACATCAGCAGGAGAGGACTCTTTAAAGTAGAGACACTACATACTGATATACACCTGAACATCAGCAGGAGAGGACTCTTTAAAGTAGAGACACTACATACTGATATA